TCTGCGATATAAAAATCTGGCAACCTCAATCTTGACGCTTTGGCTCAGCTGTAGCAAATTGCTTATAGTTTGAACAACACATGGTGGGAAATGAACATTACTCGATTGAGAAGCTTGTTGAAATCGTTGTAGTGCGCGATTTGACTCACGTAGAGCTTTGAGTTTCTTGTGAGCGGGCAGTTCAAATTCCCCGTAACCAATGCGAAAGATTAACGTTAATATCTTCGTTTGGAGTTTGTTTCATTATTTTTCATTGCGCGAACCGTGCTCTACGCGAAATTCTGGTTAAGAAACATGTATCAGAATGCTTAAATTCGTACCTTGTCTAGTGGTCCATTGACCCGTTGAAACTAACCTGAAGCTTACCTGTGTCGGCAATTCACCTCAAACCGGAAGAGCGTTGTCTGCTGCCTAGCTCGCGTGATGGACCGCCACATCAGGGCGCAGAGCGCTTGGAAGGACGAAATCCCACCACGGTCCTCTGTGCCCCCCGATATCGCCGAATATTCCTCGTTGGCCCTCTGTTTGAGTTTCGAGATGGCGTCCCCGCTGAAATGGAAGACTCGCTCCCTCAACGACGCGTCGCCTCCGAAAGGGTGCTTGCCGGTCGGTCCGCCCGGCGGGAGCGGGAGCGCGGCCCGGGAGTCGAAGGGCGTGTCACGGAAGAAGACGGGTAGGTGGGATATCGGTTCCCCCCTGGTGATCTCTGCGAAGGTGTTGATGAAATGCCACAGCGATGTGCCATCCATCACGGCGTGGTTTATACTGAAACCGATGAAGACACCATCCGTCAGCTCCGTTACCTGAGGATGTTGAAGCGAGAAAGTGAGATGTGGAGAGCTTTGGAGTTTTAAGAAAGTGGGTATTTTATACGCAGAGACAAGAGACCTTCCATTGGTATCTTGCAATGGTTGGAAGCTTTGAATGGAGATGTTGCATGTGTGAGGAATTTGCGATTTGACTGTTGATTCATATGTAAAAGTTCGCGAGAAACACGATGGTGCTACTGGTCTTTTCTGAATTCAACTCCCAAGCTCAAAAAAAGCTCTCAAGTTGAGGCCAAAATGGAGGGGATATCCCACCCTACCCTGAGAGTCCACCTCTACATCAAAACAAACTCTCCATGCAAAGATAGGGAGCAAATACATTAGCAGGGTTGCCGTGTTTTCAGTTTTGGAGTCCCCAAATAAAGTGGCAGCCCTATCAATGTATTTGCTCCCTATCTTTGCATGGAGAGTTTGTTTTGATATAGAGGTGGGTAGGTTGGGATATCCTTTCCATTTTGGCCTCTACTTGAGAGCTTTTTTTGAGCTTGGGAGTTGATTTCAGAGAAAACCAGTGGCACCATCGTGTTTCTCACGAACTTTTACATTATAATCAACGGTCAAATCGCAAATTCCTCACACATGCAACATCTCCATTTCAGGACTACTACATTCTATTATTGACTCACCTGCTGCGTCGATGGTCAACAACTTGTTGGGAGTTTCGTTTTGCGAACAAACTAAAGTTAGGGAAACTTGTTTGGCTCATAGTGTCACCCAAAGCTCATCATCCACCTAGTAGGTAGGTCAACAGCCGAAGGAAGGATGGTGATTGTTTCTCTCTTACAATTGTTCAGAAGGAAGTGTTGAATCCCCGAAGGTAGAAGTTTCCACCTATCGCTTTAAAGAGGCTAGTGGAGGGTCTCTTGTCTCTGGTTATACATGAGAGTAGAGTACCTTTGTAGGGAAATTACGGACATGTCGGTAATTTTGAGGATTAAGTCATAGAGCTTTCAGCGCTCATAAAGGCAGCAAACCTATGAATTCAAATTATCCAGAGTGATTAATTATTGCAAGTGTTACGACTCGTCGTTCAAAATTATCTCCTTCCGAACACCCATCCTTTGAGCTCTGGTGGTCCAAATTAACTCCCGAAATTTTAAAGTCTTTAAACAAGTAAATTTCAAAATTTAAGGCAATATCCTGCTCTCCGGCGTAAATAGAGTTGCTACTGATCGTCGTAATTAATTAAGTAGCTAACCAGCATGATCTTGTCTCTATCTTTCGGGGAATCTGTGTATTAAAAATCTCGAGTCTCACCGTGCGATGTTAAGTAATCGATCTTACTTACCTGCAACGCATAACCCATCCTGCGACACGGTTTGCCACACCTTCCACTCTGTACGAGGAATAGAGGGTCAATTGGACTGCATTTTGCAATTTGGAGCTATTAATTCTGGCTCAACTGAAAAAACACTTATGTGCATAGGGGCTTTAATGGCACATTCGTTGTCTTTAAATCGGGCCGGAAATTATAGCTCCTAATTGCAAAATGCAGTCTCATTATCCCTAGTAAAAGTGAGTCAGCCTGACGTGAGTCTATGTTTCATAAACTACCCTGAGTCTGACTGATTCAGGCTGATGTCAGCCTGCGGGCCGATTATTGAAATTGATAGACAAAGCTATAGACAAAGAAGACATAGGGGGTATAAAGCAATCCTATTGGTTGAAATGGGTGGTTCTCATAGACTAAGGGGGAAATGATAGACTAATTGTCGGGTCTCTCGTGGGTTGCCGTTAGTTAGTCTATTACCTACCTCCTTTGTCCATTGCAACCACCCGCTTCCACCAATAGGATCCCTCCATATCCTGTTTGTCTTCTTTGTCTATTGCTTTGTCTATCAATTTCAATAATCAGCCCGCTGAACGGGTCTCCAAAAGTAGCAGCCATTATTGCAAAATACAAAAATGCACACTTTACCTGAACCGCAGCTAATGGCTTCGAATGCCCCTCGTAGTTGACGAATTCGTCGTAAGTGAAGAAGCCCTTGACGCAGTCTGGGACATCGCCCAGACACAAAACGTCGTCCACCGAGAGATCAGTGTCGTCCATCGCCAGAAATTCAACCCCTGCATCGTTACAAGCGATGTGGATTCGACCATCGGGGGTCGTTGCTAGGCGACCGGCCAGGGGAGAGAAGTGCGCGAGGGTAGTGGAAAGGGATTCCTTGAGGGAGGCGAGGAGACGATCGAATGAGAGACCCGGGGGATGAGGTAACAGAACCCCGATTTGGATGTACTCAAGCGCCAACCGTGAGATGTCTGAAGTCGAGAGCTTCAGGGATTCGACGTCCGACTTTCGGGCCGGAAAAACCATGCATTTTGAGATGAGAGTTGCTGTGGATTTAGGAGTGGACATAGTGATGTTCGCCTCCACAGGTTTTCTTAAACCGAACTCCATGTACGGGGAAAGGTATTTTAAAGTTTCGAAATTTGTAAATTGTTCGAATCTTGCGCGCGAAATTCGAAGCTCCCCTCTTACGGGACGACGAGCGGAGTGACGAGGTGGACTTATGACTGGAACACAACGAACGTGCAGAATACGGATCTTGAAAAACGGAAATATTGCTCGTCAATAACGAAACGGATCACACAATGGACAATCACTGTGATTCTTCAACGACTATTCTGCCGTACTAAGGAAGAACGCCGTATGAACATTCGAGAGTTGCCAAATTTCCTCTCAGAAAATGGTTATTTTTCAAGGAAGTTGTGAATATTTTCCCTCGAAATTTTCAGGAACTTTAGGTGGTATTGCGAACAAAATTATCTGGAAAATTGGAGGAAAAATATTTGCAAATTTTCCAGAAAATTCGTGATTTACGGGAGGAAATTTGGCAACGCCTGAAGGTTCATACGGCGTTTTTCCTCAGCACGGCAGTATTCGAGGCTGCGCATCTTTTCCGGCTTCGGAATAGTTTTATAGACTCGCCTTTTATTCGCCGGGTTTTGCCAGCTCGCCCAATTTAATTTTTTCTCGTGTTTTATGGCAACATTGAACGAAAATGAAGATTCGACGTTTCATATTTTCGTGAATTCACGTCCCTCATACAGCGTTGCCAGCGGTCTGGAAAACCGGGGAAATTACAGAGTTGTCACTGTCAGGGAAAACCGGGAAATGTCAGGGAATTTTAAACAGTCAGGGAAAACCGGGAAATGTCAGGAAAAATGACGAAAATGTCGAAAATGTCAGGTAAAAGAGCGACGCTAAAAACGACCGTTTTTCGGCACAATTTGGGCCAGCGAGGATTTTTATGAAACCGGGCCATAACAATACCTTATGATACCCTAAAACTCTGGTAAAAATTTTAGCTTGAGTATACGCACGGTTTTTGAGAAATGAGGGGGCAAAGTTGCCAAATCGCCATCATTCTGGATAGCATTTCCACAGCAAAAAGACTGGAAAAATGGACGAAAAAGTTACACCTTTGATAAGTCTCGGTTGTAAATGTTCTCATTGGGCCCCCAAGCATTTAACTGTGTTCAATGTCAAAAATTTTTGTCACACAGTGGTTCAAAATTGGGAGAAATCGTCGACAAATCAGGATTCTTTGTCAAATTTTTAGAAATTGAAGTATAAAATTGTCGGTCTACTGCAGTTTTCATGGCTAACAATGTTCTTACCGGTCATCAATGCATGAAATTGTGTTCAGCTTCACAAATTTACATCGCACAGTGGTCAAAAATGGGGGAATTAGTGGACAAATTAAGATCCTGTGTCAAACTTTTTAAAAATGAAGTGAAACTGTTGGTCCTCAGTAGAGTTTAGATCCCGGAAAAATTCTTTAAATTCTTTTTTTGACTATTTAAATCTTCTTATAATTTTTTCTCTCCATTTTTCCTTCTTTTTTTTTAATTTCTGAAAGTTTGCATATTTTATTGAGATAATGCTACAAAGTCTATTCTTCAACAACTTTTTATAAACAATACGGTCTAACATGTAGTAATAATTAAAAAAAATTAAAAACACGAATTTTTCCGGGATCTAAAGTCTACTGGGGACCAACAGTTTCACTTCATTTTTGAAAAGTTTGACAGAGGATCTTAATTTGTCCACTAATTCCCCCATTTGTGAGCACTGTGCGATGTAAATTTGTGAAGTTGAACACTCTGGAGCTGTTGCATATGTGAGAAATTTGCGATTTGACTGCTGTTTTTTATGTAAAAGTTCGCGAGAAACACTACGGTGCCACTGGTTTTCTCTGAAATCAACTCCCAAGCGCTCAAAAAGCTCTCAAAGTGAGGCCAAAATGGAGGGGATATCCCGCCCTACCCCGAGAGTCCACCTCTACCTAAAGAAAAAACTCTCCATGCAAAGATAGGGAGCAAATACATTGACAGGCACCAGTGGACCAGTGGCACCATCGTATCTCTCGCGAACTTTTACATAAGACACAACAGTCAAATCGCAAATCCCTCACACATGCAACATCTCCATTCAGTGAAATTCTCGGACAGCCTCGTTGAACAATTTTTCTGTAAAAAAATAAAATGGCGGCGGAAAGTTTGAAACGTCGCATGAAGCTTGTGATACTTTGGCCAGAAGGTGACGAATCCAACTGTTAACCCGCCACATGTACAATAAGTTGAGCTCATCAAAACGAAGTCGTCATTTTTCTCTTGGTGAGAAGAGAGTATAGAGACGCGAGGCTACACAAATGAACGTAATTCTATCAAACGGAACTATGTGCATTATGACATGAGCCCTGTTATTCACGTATTCTTAAGGGTCTCAGGGCTCATGTCTTAATACACATAGTTCCGTTTGATAGAAATACGCCCCAATGAAGAGTGATACACCCAGGACGAGGAAACTATTCGACGCGGTAGCAGCGATCGTCGACGCAGTTCTCGAATACATTTTTCCCTTGTCGCACAGTGGATCGAGTCAAGTAGAGAGGTTGGATACGAAATTTTTAACCGAAATTAAAAATTTTCATGTTCATTTCATCATTTTTTAAATTTTTATGGGTGCTTCTAGAAGGAAATTTCACGAGGAAACCAATGGAACCACTTCTCGAACCTCAAAGTTTTGTATAAACGGAGTTATAAGCGTTTGAAGGTTCCAAATTTTGTCCGACCTCTCCCATTGACTCGATCCACTGTGCTTCGCCACCCGATCTACGATGTGTCGCTCATCTTTCCCATACCGTCAAAGCAACCGGGCGGCATTTTTCGAATTTCCTCCCTGCCTCCCGGGCGTAAATGGGTCACTAAACCATGGACGAATTTTGACTTGAGAATATAGTTTTCTGAAGGAAAATGACGCGTAGAACACGATGCGCACATTAAAAACGCAAACAAGTAACTCAATAACCGAGAAATGCGCAGTTCAAATTGCTCAACTTATACGCAAATTTAAAACGCCCCGGTTTCGCGCCGCGCCGAATGATGTCATCCGGCACCAATCAGAAGCGGGCACGGGTTTCCACGACGTCCGTTAAATGTCTATCTACTCTTCGTATACAATTTGTATATAAGAACAATACTAAAGTCGAAATTATATCTTTAGAATTCAAGACTCGAATCTCATTCACATGTTTGCTGTAATAAACAAGCAACAATTCCATATCGAAATACGTTTTATTCTAACAAACATCAGAGCAAAATGAGAGAGGATTGCGTTTTGACTACCGCAGTACATCAACACTGTCAGTTTCCCGCCATTCGGGTGCGTTTGAAATGTCTTGCAGTTTTTAGATTTTTCCGAAGCGGTTTTCTCCGCGATTTCGGCTCCATAAAAATGCGGGAAAATCACCACGTTATCTACTCACATTGTATTTTCAGAATATTCAATAAAATAAACAAGGTTTAGTGACCCATTGTGCCACCGTAATTATGGAATCTGATTTCAATTAAAATTCGCTCTAACGAAGACTCCAGCAACCGGCCGACGGATTCCGAGTCTCGGAAAATTCCCACCGCTCCCCGCCCGTGAGCTCCGACGCGCTGCTGTATCGAGTTCTCGCCCAAGCCCCAAATTTCGTGTGCTCGGTTCGACTGCTAGATTAGACTGCTAGACAAAATTTGAAGCAAGGTGGAGAAATGGTGCTGGGTCTGCACCCTTTCGCGGGGAAAACAAAGCCAAGAAGTTCCAAAAATTATTATCAGAGTCAACATTTTTACTTTTTTTACTAATTTTTCGACTTAATTTTTTTTTTTTCTAAGTTTGAAACGTGCTCGGTTGGACTGCTAGACAAAATTTGAAACAATCTGGAGAAATGGTGCTGGGTCTGCACCCTTTCGCGAGGAAAACAAAGCCAAGAAGTTCCAAAAATTATAATCGGAGTCAAAATTAAATTTTTTTGAACTCTAAATTTTTACTTTTTTTACTAATTTTTAACTTAATTTTTTTCTTCAAAGTTTGAAACGTGCTCGGTTATAGACTGCTAGACGAAATTTGAAACAAGGTGGAGAAATGATGCTGGGTCCACACTCCACACCCTTTCGCGGGGAAAACAAAGCCAAGAAGTTCCAAAAATTATAATCAGAGTCAAAATTACATTTTTTCAACTCTAAATTTTTACTTTTTTTACTAATTTTTTAACTTAACTTTTAGTGTATTTTCCGAAGGAAATACACTATTGCATTCTCCCATGATGTCGGACCCAGACCTGAGACATTGTGAAGAGCACCGATCACGGGTCGTAGATCACGAAAATATATGCTATTCAAATTCATGTGTATATATATATGTATGTATATATGTATGTATATATGTATGTATGTATGTATGTATGTATGTATGTATTTCCGCCTTTTGAAGATTTTTCGATTTTTGAGTGGTTATATCTTTCTTACGTTGAAAGATATTTTGACCAATTTTTTTGCATTTTGTAGAGACTCATTAGGACTACTATTCTGCGAAAAAAAATTGAAATTTGAGGCAATAGATTTTGAGGGGTGGGGCTCGAAAATGGGGGGAGGTCAAATCTTGTCCACTCGATAACTCGAGCGAAAATGAATATTTTGAGCTGAAATTTTTACGGGTGGTAGTTCTCCCCTAGGACTGGTTTGGTATTGAATTTGAGCTAAATCGGCCGAGCCGTTTAAAAATGGCGAGCTTTGAAAGTTTTAGGCGAGGGGTGCGCGGCATGAGGGGAGCCGGCCGGAGCAGGGCCGCACAGTGGGTCGGGGGAGAAAGTTTTTGGACAAGCTGATCGTCGCACAGTGGGTCAGGGGAGAGAAGTTTTTGGACAAACTTTTCGTCGCACAGTGGGTCAGGGGAAGGAAGATTCTGGACAAATTGTTCGTCGCACAGTGGGTCAGGTTAAATGATCTGTTCTTGAACAAAATCTCACCATTTAACCGTCACAACCTTTCGCAGCGCGTTCGCTGGCAACGTACGCAACTACTATCTTGTGCTCAAGAAATTAATTCATTCCCTTACAGATTGATCCCCCCCCCCCTTCGGAAAATACACTCTTCCCGCGGTGGACGCGCGGGTCGCTTAAGAAGACAGAACAACTGGAATGGACACTCAAACTAAAAAGCGCGCGCGAAGCGCGCGTCCTGGGGGGGCTTGGGGGGGCGAAGCCCCCCCAAAAAACCGG